CATTCAGAAACTCTTTTCTGCCGGCCATTTGCCCTGCTTACGGAATTACAGATCACAATTGGGCAGCAGTTTGGGTTGAAGTGCGTGAGCAACTTGGGATCTGTTTTGACGACAACTTCCCAACCATGCCGGCTCCGAACGCAGACAACAGTCCGAGTCGACGGCCGTTGACGACAGATGAGATGAAGAGCTGGACCCGTATGTTGTTGGCTCGGTGTGAGATCGACCTGACCGACCGGAGGATCACTTCCCACAGCTGCAAGTGCACATTGTTGAGTTGGCTGTCCAAGCATGGTGACCTGTGGGAGGATAGGCAAGTGCTTGGTGGGCACGTGTCTTTTATCAAGTCGACTATCACTTACAGTCGTGAAGCCATGGCCAGACCTTTGCGAGTCCTGGAGGAGCTGCTCAATGATGTGCGTGTTGGCCGTTTCCGCCCAGATGAGACCCGGAGCGGAAGATTCAGGGACGTGGTTCTGGAGGGTTGCCCCATGGGCGAATCCTTCGCGTCAACACCTTTTTCACTCGTTGGTGAATGGGTCGAAGCCAGTGAGCCTTGTAACAAACCACGAGAAGTTGAGGTGACCAACCAGAGCCGAGAGTCTGCCGAAATCATTGAGGTCGACCCTGACAGCCCGAAGAGGGAAGAGGAGGACAATGCATCATCAGAGGCGCCGGATACATCCACAAGCTCAGATGAGAGTGCCGCTGTCCTCAGTGGGGCCAGGAGACCGCTGCGTGTTCCTACCGTGCCGGACTCTTTGAAGCTTGTGCAGCATACGAAGCTTCGAACTTTGCATTGCATGGAGAAGGAACACCAGCTCATCTTGTTGTGTGGTCGCAAAGCAGTGCCAGAAAGATACGGCGTGGTAGAGGAGGTGAGGTTTGACACTCCACTATGTCACCCATGCTGGAAAAAGAAAGTAGAGTATGAAGTGTAGCATTTTCTGTGATCTAGGGCACTAACAGGTGCCGGGCCAATCATGGGCCATGAAGGGCAGGGTTCCATTGTTGGAAACTCAGCCGGTGTCTCGAGCGAGAGAAAAGAAAATTCTAAGATTTCTTGGTCTGTTTGAGTCGTCTTGTGCCGCAAAAAGGTCTTAAATTTAACACCTTTTTCGTTGAAATTTTACTTGTTTGGAGTATGTTTTGTCTTGGATCCAGGACCTTGGAAACAGCCAGGGTTCAGTGCGGGTCTGCTCAAAGCATTGAGAAACACCAACGGTAGTTGGAACATGGCTAGAAAGCAGCGCACAAAATCGGATCCACGGGAATACCAAACATAGTATGGAAGCATGCCATACAACAGGTAGACAACCTGCTTCAGGTTGCTTAGCATCGCCATGGCCTTAGTCGACTCAGAAGCTGCGTTTGAGAAACGCTGCAAAGAGCTGGATCCGAATTTATATGATACAATGAGTAATGCTGGCATTGTCACTTTCGCTTCACTTGCATACGCTGTTGGAGCCCCTCAGACAGCTCCAACAGATGAGGCTATGCAGCGATTCGCAGATAGGATTTTCCTAGTAGCTGCCACTCTTGCACAGGTTTCGAAGGTGAAGCGTTTGCATTTTGAAGCCGTAACTTTAGTTGTTGCCGATCTCAAGAGGCAGGTAACAGCAGGTGATGTGACAGAGCCTGGCAAGACATTGCCCTTCATCGAGAAGCAGAGGAGGTTGAGAGCTCAGCAAACGCGCATCACTGGAATCAGTCATAAACACGAGCAGCAGGCCTCTCATGCTTTGATTGATGCAGCCTTCAACATTCTTGAGACCGGTGCAGTTGTTTACCTGCCACCTTCGAAGTGTGGCTCGCGAGATGCTGAAATCCAGTCAGAAGCAAAGAACAAGCAGAAGCAGTTATTGACTTTGGAGCAAGGAACTATCAAGGCCACAGCCTCAGATGCCCTGGTCTCTGTGGACATTGGGACTGAGATGAAATTGATGTACGCCCTTCAGCGCCGGGGACTTGCGTTTGACTTAGTCAATCTTGTGTCTTGGCCAGTGCATATGGAATGGGTCAACAAACTCTTTAGAGCACTCATGTCTGAAGCAGTCCCAGGGTTTAATAGCATCACCTTGCAGCAGTTGCTTCGTGCCGATCAGGAGCTATTCCTAACTATAGCAGCCGAATTTGATGGTTCGCTCAAGGGGGGCAAACGTTGGTGATCCGCCACCTCTCGATGCAGTCATTCAAAGGTTGATGAATGACCCTCGCATCAATATTCATTTAACCCCAACTGCTAGAGGTGAGAAACGTAGCATTCAGCAAGAAGGTGACAAGGTGTCCAACCCGCCCCCGAAGAAGCAGAAGCAGCCCAAGCCGGGTGCCCAGCGTTCGCCTAGCCAGTTACCATCCGAACTGACCGGACTGCACTTGAAGACGAAAGATGGAAAACCAATTTGTTGGAAGAGAAACCTCAAACAAGGGTGCAGTAATGAAGTCAAGAAGGGCCGCTGTAGGTTCGGTTTTCATGTATGCATGCGTTGCTTGAAGACGGGCCACGGGGCTGCAAACTGTCAAGAATCATCTTGACTATCTCGCCATGAGCCCTGCAACGATGAAACAAAACGGAATGAAGCAGGGCAGTTGTTTTCACCCACTTTTTGCTCATCACAAGGGCCGGCTTCTGCGAGACAGGACAATGGACTGGCTATGCAGGAGCTCATTGAGCCGGCTATGCATGACTTGCACAACGATTCAGCCCGAACCGATTGCTTGTTCGTGGAAGTTTTTTTCAGGAAGTTGTCGACTCTCGAAAGCTTGCCATTCGCTTGACTTCAGGTGCACTGCGATTGACAAGGACCCAGGCCGTTCAGAAAACTTTCCGGTGTACGTTTGTGACATTACCAATGAAGAACAGTTCTTGAATTTGCGCACTTATCTGGAAAAAGAGAGAAGTGCAATCTTGCATGCACACTTTGCTCCAAGCTGTGGTACTGCTTCGCGTGCAAGAGAACGGCCAATTCCAGGTTTCAAAACCGCTCCAAAGCCTTTGAGGAGTGATGCTCATCCAGATGGCCTACCCAACTTGACGGAGTCGGAGCATCAAAGGGTGTCAGAGGCTAACAGAAGTTATGCAGCGATGTCGGAGCTTATTTTTGCTTTGGTGGAATTGGGAGTCAGCATCAGCATTGAAAACCCTCGCAACTCTTTGTTGTGGAAGACTTCCTTCTTAAAGCATTTGTTGGGCAAGTTGCCAACCTACCATGTTTGCACTTTTCACCATTGCATGCACGGGGGAAAGCGTGATAAAGACACTGCTTGGTATAGCTTCAACCCGCGTGATCCGCAGAGGGATTTGTTCGCGAGCTTGGCACTGAAGTGTAACAAACAACACCAACACGCGCCCTGGAAACCCTATGTGGATGCCTCAGGGAAACGAATTTTCCCAACAGCAGATGAAGCCGCTTATCCGCACTTGCTGTGTGAGCGCGTTGCATACATCTTGAGGACAGAGGCCACAAAGGCGGGCTTCATTTTTCCCACTGACTTGCACCAACAGTTGGACCACACCAATGTCAGTGCAAAACGCCAGCTGTTTACAACACAACCTAGAGGTCGTCGTCTCAGGCCGTTGGTCTCTGAGTTCTCGGGTTATGTAACGGTGGTAACCTTGCCTGATAGGTCCGAATTTTTGGAGCAAACTCTTCGTACACTCCCCAAGGGAGCTCGCATTTGTCATCGGGTTCTCCAGCAGCGGGGGTGGAATCGGGATGACATGGCACAGAAATCACGCACTGTTGTCGTTGACGAGAGGTGTGGCACGGATGGGCAATGTGAAGTAGTGAACATTGGCATCCCAAGGGAACCCAGTGAGTTTATACAAGAAGCCTTGAACAAGGGTCACCCTAGAGACATCATTGCAAACATACGGGACGCCGAGCGGGACCTGCTTTTGAATTTGGTGCATCAACCTCGCTCTGTTCGTTTCCAAAAGCGTGCAGCCTTCATGAAGAAATGGCTTAAGAGATCCTTGGAGCTGAAAGAAAGCGAGCAGAAGTTGCGTGATTCCCTTGCGCCACACTTGGTCCCCATCCTGATGGGTAAACGGCTCTTGTTGTGGAAGGAGATCTTGATTGACCTTGCATACTCTGACGTAGCCGTTATCGATGATGTTGTAAAAGGGTTCGCATTGACAGGTTGGGCGCCGCAAACTGGAGTGTTCCACAAGCATGTTCGAAAGCCCAGTTTGACAACCCAGGAACT